CTCCTGAAAAACATAATTATGAAGTATTGTAAACTTTTTGTATTTTCAATCATCGAGGTTGTAATTTTGAAAGACATACTTGAGTCAAAGCATATATACAAGACATAATTTGATAACAAAAACTATCTACAAACAAGCTTCTCTACGATTGGCCTGACTGTTAGGTAGTTAGGTAGCCAATCAGTCACAATCTTATAAGTTTCACATTGACCCAAAATATGCTGAACCGGAAACTATCATAATACTGCTTTTATAAGTGTTTGCTCATGGTGCAGTATAGTAAATTTCTTGAAAGCATCAATGTTTTTTATATAAAATATAGATGTTTTATAAATTTCAAATGACCAATTACATGGCAGTAAATTACCCAATGATTAAAGAAAAACAGCAAAGACTCACGGGTAGTGAAAGTCGCTGAATGCATGGTTTCTATAGTCAATGAAATGTACGCTTTATTTGAATGAAGCAGATTAGGATACTAGTAGTTCTTTTATAAATATTTTTAAAACTTGCATAAAAAAACACTTAAGCCTTCATACATTAACACAAGTCATTGAAAATGACACAGTCCCTGTTAAATTTTCGAAAAGTCTCTTTATGCTCGTCATATTAAAGCGGAGGGGTTGTCGCGAGCGTGTCCTTGAAACTTGAGTCCCAAGTGGCATATACAACAGATTATTTATTCACATCAATTTCGAACATGTGTTGCGTGACAACCCCTCCGGTTAAAGACATCAAAGAAAAACATAGATCAAAAGTGAAAGCATGTCCAAGTTATCACATTTTAAACAAACAAGATGGCCGCCGAATTATAAGTCCCCTTTTATCGGACGAAGTCCGAACGGGGATTAAAAAAGTTTTCAACAATCAACAATAGAAATTAATTACCTTTGACATTTGTCACATTCCTATGAAAATAAAATAGACAAAACTGATTACACTGTTCAAATATCAAACATCAAATACTACAAACCCATTCCCTTGATCATTATAAGATACATTGTATATATCGAACTTATCCGGGTAAGAGCCCATGCCGGGGCAAACACCCACCCCTCACTTTTGACACAATAAAGAATTTGAGGTCAGATGCGGGCACATGCCCAGGGGTCTTTTTCTACACAAAAAATAACAAAAAACTATTTTCTATTCGTTGACTGTGGTTGTATTAACAGTTGACTTTCTTGAAGTCTGTCGTGATGCTTATAAAAATTCTTTAAATGTAATTGTTAATTGCGTAAAAGAAGGGATGAACGCAAAATATCTATGACAGAAAAATAGGTATTTCGCTTTCTGCCATCAGGGTTGCGTGTTAACCGCTGATTTACATTTATTTTTCAGAATCATAACAGTCAGCAAGTTTATAAAAGTATATATTAAAGTAGAAACAGTAGTTCTCTCTTTGAAATATGTCGTGGCTCTAAAAAGGGCCGACTGTTTGGTTTGTGCTTTTTTAGAAATGATTCAAGCAAATCGTATAAAGAGAGCGGCTAAGCAAGTGGGTCCGACCAATGACAATATGCAGGTGTGCACCTGTCGAAGTTTTCTTCGGTGCCTGGTGAACTAGTGGGAAGGAAGGAAAGGCGTACACAACTATGTGGGTCCACGGGGTCAGCAAAGCAACCCTGGCCCAGGTTCCTGGAGCCTGGCGTTCCGGGGTGTGGCAAACAAGTCTATCTTTGGACTGTCCCAAAGCCGAAACAGCCTGAAGGCTACCCACTGGGGTATCAGCCACTCAGTGTTCTGGAGATGGAGCCGTCCTTTCAGGGCGTCTGCCAGACCTCACCCCTGGAATGTGGTGTGCGGTTAGCTCCACATGGTATTCCAGGCACCAAAGGGGGAATTGCTTCACTAGGACTGACAACGATGGGGAAGGCGTCCCCCCTCCTTCTTGAAGGAGACCACCGCTGCGTTGCCTGTGAGGAGCAGGACTCTGTGGTCTCGAACTACGGGTCGAAAGCGTGGTAGTGCTAAGTACACTGCTTTCAGTTCGAGCCGGTTGATATGTCAGTCCCGAAACTAATGCAGGGGCCATATACAGTACTCATTTCGCCGAACCTCCCGCCCGCTTCCGGATTTCGATCGCTTTTTTTTCCCTCGCTGTGTGCAATTCGACCGCGCAATTTCCGCTTTTTTTTCGACCGCGCAAATCCGGAAGTATCCGCTCGCGCAATCGCTCGCTCGCTCGCCTGACAGCGCAACCGCCCGCATTTACAGTTCATTACCTACTGTTTTATGATGTTAAAATAAGAATAAATACAATCAGAAATTTATAGAACGACCGTTGAAAAAAATACGGTGGATCACACAGCCATATAAAATTGGTAATAATACATACGCGTAGTAATAATGTCCACCATAAACAAGATCGAACCAAACATGTGAAATCAAATACGACACTGGAGAGCGAAAAATGTCTACTGTAGAGTACGGTATTCGTTGAGTAACCGTGTGTAGGGTGACGGTTGTCATGCACGCATGGTTTGGGTTTAACACGGGTCAAGTTGTAGTTATGTTAAAATCCGTGGCACCCATAACAATTGAAGAATATCTGCAGGAATAGTAAGACTGTGAAAAAAACCGACTGATCGATTGTTATAGAATGACCGTAGTGTACAATTTGTCAAACAAATACAATACTTGCAAATGTAATGTCAGCCAGCGCCCATCTTACTTGTCCGAAGTTGTCGAAGCCGACATCACTGGAGATCGCGTTTTTTAACTAGGCGGCTGGCAAGCGGACTAACACGTTACATAAACCTGTTGAACT